TGTTTTTTAGTTAGAAAGATGAAAACAAGTTACATTTTCTTCAGATTTCCATATTCCAGATATTGAAATATGAAAATGAGCTACAGTTACTTAAAGTTTCTGCTATTGCATTTAGAAATACAAAAATCAGCAACATTTTTTCGTATTTGTGCCTTTTTATTTAGATATATGAAAATAAGCTACAATTTCATCAGATTTCTATTTTTGTGCTTACATATGAAAATATGCTACATTTTCTTCAGATTTCCTAGAAATATGAAATTCAGGTACATTTTCTTCAAGTTTCTGCATTTTAATATAGTAATATGAAAATAAGTTATATTCTTTTCAGATTTGTGCTTTTTTATTTAGAAATTTAAAAATACACATCTGAAGAAAATGTATTCATATTTCCAAAAGAAAAAATGGTAAATGCGAAGAAAATAAAGCTTACTTTTATATTTCTAAATAAAAAAGAAGTACTTTGAAGAAAATGTACTGATTGTCATGTTTCTTAAATAATAGCAGTAATCAAAAGGTATATCATATTTCTAAATTAAAAAAACTGAAAAAACCTTTTATTCATGTAACATATTTCCTTTGACATATATTCTAATTTGTAAATAAAAAGCAAAAATCAGAAAATGTAAATTATTTTCATATTTCTAAATGAAAAAACCATAAATCTAAAGAAAAAGTAGCTTATTTTCAAATTTCTAAATAAAAGAGGATCAGAGGAAAATCTAGCTTATTCTTATATTTCCTAATAGAAAAGCATAAATCTGAAGAAAATGTATTATATTTTAATATTTCTAAATAAAAAGCATAAATCTGAACAACAATTTTTATTTTCATATTTCTGAGAGAAAAAGATAAGTCTGAACGAAATAATGATTGTTAATTATTTCTAAATAAAAAAAAAATTCTGAACAAAATGTAGATTACTTTAATATTTCTAAATATAAAAGTCTAAAACTAAATAAAATATTGGTTATTTTCATATTTCTAAATTGAAAAAGCCAAAACCTAAATAAAAAAGCATAAATATAAACAAAATATTGGTTATTTCATATTTCTAAATGAAAAAGCATAAAATTAATAAAATGATGCTTATTTTCATATTTCTAAATGAAAAAAGGAAATCTGAACAAAATGTAGCTCATTTTTATATTTCCAAATAAAAAAAGCATAAATTTGAAAAAATAATGCCTATTTTCATATTTCTAAATGAAAAAGCCAAATCCTAAATAAAATGTAGCTCATATTCATATTTCTAAATGAAAAAGCCAAATCCTAAATAAAATGTAGCTCATATTCATATTTCTAAATAAAAAAGATCATACTGACACAAAATCTATTTTGTGTCAGTATGATCTTTTTTATTTAGAAATATTTATTTTCATATTTCTAAACCAAAAATTGTAAATCTGTAAAAGTATAGTTGATATTCATATTGGGAAGAAAAAAGCCTACATGTGAACAAAATATTGGTTATTTTCATATTTCTAAATATAAAATCAAATCTGAGCAAAATATAGCTTTTTCATATTTCTAAATAAAAATAGCATAAATCTGAAACACATGTAGCTTATTTTCATATTTATAATGGAAGAAGCATAAATCTGTATAAAATATGGATTATTTTTATATTTCTGAATGGAAAAGCATAAATTTGAACAAAATGAGGCATATTTTCCTATTTCTAAATGAACAAAGCAAATGTAGCTTATCTTCATATTTCTATATAATTTACTATAGATTATTTCCATATTTATAAAAGAAAAAAGCATGAACCTGAATGAAATGCAGCATATTTTCATATTTCTAAATGAAAAAGCAGGAATCTTAACAAAATGTAGGTTATTTTAATATTTATAAATGAAAAAGCATAAATCTTAATGTAATGTAGCTTAATTTCATATTTAAAAATGAAAAAAGAATAAATTGAAAACAAGTAGCTTATTTTCATCTCTGAAGGAATATATCTGAACAAAATCCATATTTCTAAATGATAAAAGCATAAATTGAAACAAAATTTATCTTATTTTCCTAATTATAAGTGAAAAGAAAATGAATCTAAACAAAAAGTTTTTATTTCTATATTTTTAAACAGAAAAATCAAAATGTGAACAAAACTTATGTAGCTTAGTTACATACATGTAAATGAAAAATCATTAAACTAAAAAGAATATAGCTTATTTTCATATTTCTAAATGAAAACATCATAAATCTGAAGAAAATGTAGCTTATATTCATTTAATAAAGTATAAATGTAAATAAAATGTAGCTTATTTTCGTGCCCAAATGAAAATACATAAATCTGAAGAAAATGTAGTATGTTTTCATATTTCTAATTGTGATATTGTTAAGTGAAGACATCATAAATCTGAACAAAATGTGGCTTTGGTTCATATTTCTAAATGGAAAAAGCATAAATTTGAACAAAAGGTAGCTTATTTTCATATGTGTAAATAAAAAAGCAAAATTTGAAAAAATGTGGTTATTTATAAATCCATTTTATTAAAAAATCCATTTTATTAAATCTTAATGAAATGTAGCATATTTTCATATTTCTAAATGAAAACGAAAAAATCTTAATGTAATATAGTTTAATTTCATATTTATAAATGGAAACAAATCATTAATCTGAAGAAGATATACCTTAATTTCATATTTGTGAATGAAAAAAGCATAAATAACAAACAGTCTATTTTAATGTCCAAATGAAAACAGCATAAATCTAAAAAATATAGCATATTTTCATATATCTTAATGAAAAAGGCATAAATCTGAACAAACTGTACCTTATTTTCATGTTTGAATGAAAAAAGCATAAATCTGAAGAAAATGTAGCTTATTTCCATATATCTAAATGAAAAAGCATAAATCTGAACAAAATGTAGGTTATTTTCAAAGTTCTACATGAAAAAAGCATAATACTTAACAAAATGTAGATAATTTTCATGTTTATAATAGAAAAAGCATAAATCAATACAAAATGTAGATTATTTTAATATTTCTAAATGAAAAAGGAATGAATGTAAAAAAAATATAGTTATTTTCATATTTATAATTGAAAAATGCATCAATCTGAACAAAATGTAGATTACATTCATATTATAAATGAAAAAGACATAAATTTAAACAATATGTAGTATATTTTCATATTTCTAAATGAAAAAGCACAAATCTGAAAAAAATGTAGCTGCTTTTCATATGTCTAAATGAAAAAAGGAGGAACATTAATAAAAATGTAGCTTAATTTCATATTTATAAATGAAAAAAGCATAAATCAGAATAAAATTTAGCTTATTTTCATATTTGTAAATGAAAAATTATGAATTGTACAAAATATAGATTCTCATATTTATAAATAAAAAAACACAGTAATCGAAACAAAATATACCTTATTTTAATATTCTTAAAGGAACAAAGTATAAATCTAAACAAAATATAGCTTCTATTCATACTTCTATATCAAAAAGTGTAATACATAAATAATGTAGGTTATTTTGATGTTTATAAAAGAAAAAGCATAAATCTGAATGAAATGTAGCTTATTTTCATATTTATGAATGAAAAATGCATAAATCTGAACAAAATATAGCCTATTTGATAATTTATAATTGTAAAAAGCATAAATCTTAAAAATTTTGTGAATAAAAGCAATAAATTAGATAATGCATATTTTCCAATTTCTAATGGAAGAACAATTTTACATCAGAGGATGCATATTTTCATATTGGCAAATTAAAAAAAATAATAAAACTCCATAGGATGATACATATTTTTATATTTCTGAATTAAAAAAGAACAAATCTTCATGAGATGATACATATTTTCATATTTCTAAATGAAAAACAATAAAACTTCAATGCATGATGCATATCTTCTCATTTTTAACTGAAAAACATGATGCTGATTTTCATATTTCTATATTAAATATTTCTAGATGAATAAAGGTTCATGAGATGATCCTTATAGTTATATTTTAATATTTCTAAATGAAGAAAAATAAATGATGCATATTTTTATAGTTCTATAAGAAAAACGTAAAACTTCATAAGCAAGACCTCTGATCAGGAGCTTTTAAGTAGCATGGAACCACCTCTTAATTGCTGTTGTTCCCAGGTCCACCCTGACCTGTGGCAGTAGTACCTGTTAGGGTCCCAGCTATGGGCAAATAGTTAATCCCCAAACTGGGATCCTGGTGGTCCTGGGTATGATGATAAACTACATCCGGCATCAGGTAGGTGGAGCTCGACAGCCTGGGAAGGCAGTTCACGTAGGGGAAGAAAAAACTCTTATTTCAAACCTCCGCTGCCTTGCGACTATATCCAGTCATAGAAAAGGCTTCAGGAGTAAACCTCAAGGAAAAATCTGGAGATGGAGTGCCTAAGACAGTTCGCCGTTGAAACCAATCTGTTCTGGCAGCTCCTGCGATAGCACTGGTCCCAAACTCTAGTCATTCCTTTGGCCTCACCAGTGATGTGGAGAGAGGGGATGTGCTATATGGGCAACAGCCTGTCCTCTATTATCTCATCGTTTAGGCTTGCATCCGACCACACCACACAGCACCAAAACACCTTGCACTACACCTGGAGAGGACACTTCAGCTTTGCCTTTGGCGTCGACACAACACAGAGAATGGCAGTTACCGATTATAAGATACCACTCGATTGGCGTAGAGTGCAACGCCAGGGGCCGTTCTCATCGGTGGGAGAGATTTTCGGATCTCACTGGACAGCTACCACCTGCCTCAAGCTGGGTAGCCCCCAGCCAGTAAGATGTTGTTCCACCACGGTCTGCCTTCTTCATTGGATGCATGGTGATTAGGAGACATCTGACAAGCAGATTGAAATCTACACACCATGCAATAACAAGAATTTACGAAATAAATCAGCTCTAAAACTGGGCTGTTGGAACATCCAGATTATACTGACTGGCCTCTCTGAAGACTGTGGATCAATAAAAGAGAAGGACTATACATTCTTCTGACAGGGGAAGAGCTCTGATGAACCATGTCAACACGGAGTGGGCATCACAGTAAGGAACAGCCTGCTGAATACAGCAGCAACAGTTCCAAGAGACTCCTTACTCACTGCCTAAACACCACTGCAGGCCCTGTCACCCTCGTCAGCATGTATGCCTCAACACTCTCTGCCACATCAGACACCAAGGACGAGTTTTATGACAAGCTGGCAACCAGCATCAGCAGTATTCTCAGAAAGGAACAACTTGTTATCTTAGGTGACTTCAACAGTTGGTGCTGATCATGACTCTTGTCCTTCATGCCTTGGACAGTTTGGCGTCGGCAAAATGAACAACTGCTCAAGCTATGCTCTTGCTACAACTTGTGCATAGTCAACTCCTTCTTCAGGAGCAAGCTCCAGCAGAAGGTCTCCTGGGAACAATCAAAGCACTTCCACCAACTGGATCTCATACTGGACAGACAAGCTGCCATTGTAAACGTCCTTCACACACGTTCTTACCACAGCACAGGCTGTGATACAGACCACTCCATGGTATACTGCAAGATCAATCTCCAGCCGAAGATGTTCCATCATGGCAAGAAGCAGGGGAATCCTTACATTAATGTCAGCAAGATGAGCCAGCCAGATCTTGTACAAACGTTTGTCAAGAGGTTTGAGAATGAGCAGGCAACCTTGTGAACTAGAAACTCTGCCATGAAGAAGTGAGCGACCTTGTGGGACACCATGCACTGCACTGCCTTGGTGACCTTTGGGAGAAAGACCTCAAAGTCATATGACTGGTTTGAGTCCACCAAGATGGCTCCTGTCATTGTGCCCAAGCATGCCACTCTTACAGTATACAAGCGGTCACCCAGCAAGAGAAACCTGCAGATCCTCCAAGCTACCAATGAGTACTGGACAGAGCTTAGCAAAACCATCCAGACAACAGCAATTACAGGGAATATAAGAGGGATGTATGATGAAATTAAAACAGCAATGGGACCAGTGCAGAACAAGACGGCTCCCCTCAAATCCACCACTGGGGAAGTCATCGTCGACAAGGGGCAACAGATGGAGAGATGGGTGGAACACTATTCCGAACCCTACTCCAGGCAGAATGTTGTGACAACCACAGCCCTTGATGTCATTGAGTGCCTGCTGGTCATAGAGGACCTCGATACCAAACCGACCACAGAGAAGCTTAGCAAGGCCATTGACAGCTTGGCCTCAGGGAAGGTCCCTGGCAGTGACGGGATTCCCCCTGACCTGATTGGGCACTGCAAGATTGTCTTACTACTCCCATTACATGAGATCCTCTACCAGTGCTGGATAGAAGGGGCTGTACCTCAGGACGAGATCATCACCCTCTACAAGAACAAGGGCGAGCGAAGCGACTGCAACAACTACAGAGGTATCTTACTACTCAGCATTGTGGGCAAAGTCTTTGCTCGGGTCATCTTGGTCCCCCTCTGCAGAAACTCTACCCAGAGTCACAGTGTGATTTCCAAGCTGAAAGATCAACAATAGTGTTGTGTCGTGGCACAATAGTAAAAATAAGAAAATCAAGTCGAAGTTGGTTTAAAGAACAAGTGTATTTAACATCACAGATACAAAGGTAGGAAACGGGTACTACTCAGCTAGGCAGTTGTAGTACTGTCGCTGCTTACACCGGGTAGGTATTACTGGCACTATATATAGTGAGAACCGGTGTAATTCCCTTGTGTTAGAGGCCGGTGCAACACCCCCCCCCCTTTGAAAATATCCCGTCTGGGAATTAATAACGTTTTTGTTTTGGGTTCACCCTAATCAACTCCGTTGATTTCAGTTTTCTTTCTGATCTCCTATTCTCAGGAGCTGTCTCTGGTATGGGCACCTGAAAAGTATCAAACACTGTGTCCATGATGTCCTCCTCGGGCGATCTGGTCACCTCACTGTTCGAGTATCTTTTCCGGATTTGGTTAGTGTGACGTTTGTGCACGAAATCTGGTCCCTTAATCATATAGACCATGTTGCCTATTTGTTTCTCAATAGTGCCGGACTCCCAAAAGGTCCTTATTATTTCTATGAATCTTGTAGAAAACTCTTTCGCCAACTTTATACCGTTTTTTTTGTTATCGGTTTTTTGAGGTTTGGCCTATCCTGGTTTGGTAACAACTTGTGGAAAATTGATCTAACCTTGCATCCGGACATGACCTCAGCAGGTGTCTTCGACGTTTCGATGTTTGCATTCGGAGTGACCCTGTAAACTTGTAAGAACTGTTGGATTGACTTATCCGTCGGTGATCCACTAGCCTTTCTCAGGGCTCTCTTGAACGTATCCACGAATCTCTCTGCTTGCCCATTGCTTCTTGGATGGTATGGTGGAATGGTTATATGCTCGATTAGATAATCCTTGCAGAGATGTTTAAATTCGGTAGACGTGAATTGCGTTCCATTGTCTGTGACAATGCAGTCTACAACTCCAAACCTAGCGAATAGTTCATACAGGAAGTTAATAGCTGCCTCGGATGTGGGGTTCTTGCATTTCCGTACTTCCGGCCACTTAGATAGACTGTCTATAACAATGAGATAGTAGAAACCATCTAAAAGTCCAGCAAAATCCAAGTGAATTCTCGACCAAGGTCGGTCCGGTTTTGCCCACGATCCGAATTGAGTCGGAGGAGCTTTCATAGCTAATGCGCATCCTCTACACTCCCTGACTTTTTCTTCTATATCCTTATCCATGTTTGGCCAGAAAACGAAAGAGCGCATAAGGCTTTTCATTCTTGATATGCTTGGATGTCCTACATGGAATTCCTTGAGCATTCTTTTCTGTAATGTCGTAGGAATTACGACCCTGTCGCTATATAACAGGACGTTATCACAAATTGAATAAATTTCCTCATCCAGTTGGTTACTGTTGATTTTTTCTTTTCGTGCTTATAATAAATTCGTCCACCTCTGCCTTACTCTTAATCTCATCAAGCGTTACTGGAAGTTCTCTTATCGTGTCACATAAAGTATTTTTTACTTCAACTTCCGCTTGAATGGCTGCTATTACCATATCCTCCAATGGTTCTGTGTGCTTAGGTATTAACCTTGATAAGCCATCTGCATGACCAAGTTTTTTAGATGGTACATACTCCATTTGAAAATTATAATTCAGAAGAATGGTACCCCATCTTTGGAGTCTATTCGCCGTATGTTGTGGTAGTCCTTTTTCGATCCAAAATCATTAGTAAAGGTTTGTGATCTGTTTGTAACAGAAATTGTCTACTGTGCAAGAAACGATGAAATTTCTTTACTGCGAATATAATGCTTAGCGCCTCTTTCTCAATTTGCGAGTAGTTCTTTTCGGCTAGTAAAAGTGAACGGGATGCATGGGCTATGGGTTTTATTTTTCCATCATCCATTTTGTGTAGGATGCATGCTCCTATGCCATAGGCACTGGCATCGCTTGCAACTATAATATCACGCTTGGGATTATAATGTGCCAGAAACAAGTCAGACGTTAATATATCTTTAATTTCCTGAAATGCTTCTTCGCACTCTTGCGTCCAGACCCATTTTTAGTCCTTCCTTAACAATTCATTTAAGGGTGATCTTAGTTTATGCATATTTGGCACGAATACATTGTAATAATTCGCCAACCCTAAGAAACTTTGTAGAGACGCAATATTTTCTGGAGCAGGCATGTCCCTTATTGCACTCGATCTATCTGGATCCGGCCTTCTTCCATGTTCATCGATAATTTGCCCCAAGTATTTTATTTTTTCCATGAAAAAGGTACATTTTTCCTGTTTCAGTTTAAATCCATAATCCTGAATCCTTTTGAATACTTGGTTTACATGAGCTTTGTGTTGTTCTTTGCTAGCGCTGTTCATTAACACATCGTCCAGGTACCCTACTGCGAAGTCCAGCCCACTTAACATCATGTCCATTGTTTGTTGAAAAATCGCAGGGGCGACTTTGACCCCAAAAGGAAGTCTGTTAAACTTGTATAATCCCTTATGGGTATTGATGCATAGCAGTTTTGAACACTCCTGATCGACTGGGATTTGTAAATACGCGTCACTGAGGTCGATTTTAGAAAAATATTTCCCTCCACTCAGTTTCGCGAATATTTCTTCAGGGCTCAGAAGGGGATAATGGTGATTCTTTAATGCATTGTTTAAACCTGTTGAGAAATCGGCACAAACCCTAATCTCCTTGCTCTTCTTTTTAATATAAACTGTTGGCGTAGCCCACTCACTGTGATCAATTTTTTCGAGGACACCCATGTTTTCGAGTCTTTCTAATTAACCGTCTATTTGTTCTATAGCGGCGTATGGAACCTTTCTTTTCTTTTTGAACACTGGCTGTTCATTTTCTTTGACTTCAAATTTTGCTACCGCTTTTGTACACCTTCCAAGACCGCCTGTAAATACGTCTGGAAAATTCTCTTTTAACTCCCTCTTAAGTTTTTCTGCCTCCACATTCGAATCCTCAACTTTTTGACAAAAAGAGCTTAAAGGCAGATCCCATAGTCTAAATTTTTCGAACAGATCAGTTCCAAAGAGGTTATTTGATTTTCTCGCCGTTTTATGTGATTTAATCATAGTGGGTCTCCCAAGCTTCTTCCATGTCTGTATATTAATGATGGAAATATCAGACCCACTATCGAGCTGTAGTCTTACTTTCTTTTTAAACATTTTGACCTGTACAAATTTCCGGATATTTCGTTCCTCAGGTTCAATTTTCGTTAGTTTAATGGATGTCTTCTTTCTACAAGATTTTTCCCTACAATGTGATGCCTTATGCCCCTTCCGGTAGCAGTTGTCACATTGTTTGAATTTGTAGGGACACTCATTGTACCAATGTTTATCTCCACACCTCCAACACGGTCCAGGTGGATCTTTTCCCTGTTTTTTCCTCTGGTTATTTTTTGAAGTTAAATTTTTCTTCTGATGGACCTTTTTAATGTGCAACACTCCGCTTTCCTCTATGTCACGACTGTCCTGTTTCAACGCAACAAACCGTTCACAGTCTTCCGCTAAGCTTTGTAGTTTTAAATTCGGCTCATTTTCGAGTTTATTTAAAACACGACGCCTGATCTCAGCGTCTTTACCTAAAACCATCCCTTGCACAAATATTAAACATTTAAAATTATCTGATGATAATTCCTCCAGTTTAAAGTCGTCGCAAAGCTTGTTTACAATACTTGCATAAGTAGTGTAATCATCTTCCTTTCTTTTAGTGACATTCATACACTTATATCTCCTGTGAAAAAGAGAAGTTTTTGTAGAAAACAGTTCTGTTAGTAGAGTAACTGTCTCTTGAAAGTTCAATTCACTGGTCTTTTTTGGAAGGATAAAATTCACGAACTTTGTATGCTCGGCAGTTCCCAATTTTCTTAGCAGAAACCTAACTTTTTAGCGCCTGTCCATGTACCGCAATCCGATACAAAAATATCCTCATATCTTCTATAGAAATGAGCAAACGTGACATCGTCTTCTGGATTATAATTGAAACTTTCAATAGCGTTCCACACAGCCGTCTGGGAGAATGCGTTATGATTCTCGCTTGCATTCGTTAACTGTGTTGCCTCCAGAATTTTCCTCTGTTTCCTCCTGTGTTTTCATAAAAGATTTGTTCGATGCGTTTCTGTTGTTCCAACAACTCTTTTTAAATTTCTCCTCACTTTCAAGTTGTCGTTGAAGTTGTTGCTTTTGCAACGCGAGACTTTGTTCCGTTTGAAATTTGAACAATTGAAGAAGAGACTCTCTTAATTCTGCGTCCATGTTACGAATTCAATTTACGCACCATACAGTTTACACTTGTATTAAACAAATCAGTTTTCCCACGGCTTGCTCAACTAATACACAATTTACACAATACTGTATTTCTCGTAAAAAACAAAAAAAAATCCGTCGCTTTAAGGAGTGTCGACTAATGGGAAAGTCACAAAATTTTTTTCCAACTTCTTTGTGGTTTTGCACAAATATGACTCGAATTTTTAACAGTCTTTGTTAAGCACAAATGACTTACGCGAATATATATTTTTCACTCGACAAATCATTTAACTTTGAAGAGGAGAAAAAAAATAATCTTAGCGTGACAAAAAAAACTCTGGTTTCTTGTAAAGAAACAAAAAAAACAGTGAACCTCTTTTTTTCGAAACCCTTCGTGTCAGTATTTTCAACTATAATTGACAATATTATTCGCGTTCTCACGTTGTAGACTTTTGGTAGCAAATTTTTTGTTGTTTCTAATGATTTTTTTTTTTTTACGTCGCCAAATTACTATTGTAGTAATTAATTTGCTATTAATCCTTGCGTATCCACATATCTGTTCGAAATGACGAAGGTGTTTTGCCGTAAAAATCTTGCGAATCCTTGTCTTACAATCAATTTGGTGATTGTCTTCAGTGATATCGTTTCGATTCCGGCGTCGCCAATCTGTTGTGTCGTGGCACAATAGTAAAAATAAGAAAATCAAGTCGAAGTTGGTTTAAAGAACAAGTGTATTTAACATCACAGATACAAAGGTAGGAAACGGGTACTACTCAG